ATTTGTTAGGTTAATTATGTTCATTACTATGTTATACATAGTATTCATGCATTCTTAAACATAACATCTAGATAGGAATTAGATATCCATTTAAATTCATCATTCCCCCTTGCATGCATGTTTCTTAGCAATGATTAAATATACAATCTAGGCCTAATACGAACAAGTCTACATATTAGATACCCATGGTTCCTGATTCTACATTAGGGGGAATTTTGGTTTGTTAGTGTTGGTTGCAAAATTAATGGTAAGTACACCAATAATAACGTAGCAAGTGATAAATATCGTTTTTCTCCAAGAGAGTTGTGCAACACTGATATTTCTCATAATTCACAACTCAATTAGATGTAAGATAACAAAAACATAAAAAACAATTATTTAGGAAGACACCTCTAGAAGTATATTAGCCAGCAAATACTTGGCTCGTTCAATAACCAATTCTTTATAGATTCTCTAAACTTTAATTAAAAGAATTTCACTCAATGAAGTGATTGACTCGTCCATTTGATCAAATATTGGAAACTAAAAAAATAATTCGTCCAACAAAAACAAACTCGTCCACAGTCTAGATTTTAATAAAATTGGGAGTATTTCTCAACGACTCAATGACTCAACAACGAGCTAAGCACAATTGAGTCTTTCTCATAGACTCACCCAACAATTTAAGTGACCCAAGTTCTTCGAATTTTAAAAAAAAATTCTTAATTAATGGATGACTCGTCTGTCGAGTTTGCATAACTTCAAAAATTATATATATATATATAAGTTTTATCCATAGGTTACAAGTAGTGTTTTTTTAACTCTTTTAAAATCATTCATCTCAATTCTATAGTACAGTACAATGAGTCATTATCAAACTGATATATCCAACTTTTTAAAAGTTATCACTATAGTCATTTCAAAACATCTCCATCCAACATATCATATAAATTTCAACAGTTATGAAGTAGCTTAAATCAAGTGTAGCGATGCAACATTTCTACAACTAGATTCAACTAGCACTTAAAACTATAAAAATTTAAAACTAGCTTCCATTATCAGGATTGAATATCTTAATCCCATTAGAGTGCTAATAGTCTTCACTCACCCAAGAAAAATTAATCATATCAACTATCTACACATGTTTCCTAACAATTCTAGAAAAATAGATATTTATTTTGAATGCAAGATATATACATGAAAACCTTTTAAAAATTGACTTAAAGAAAAGATATAAAAATGAACTTACTCAAAGAAGATTTTGATCGACTGAATTCTTTCTATTTTATGTTAGGATCCCTGTAATAATCTCTTATTCAAAAATTAATTATAGCAGAAACTTAGAGAGAATTTAATAAAAAAGAAGAAGATAGTTTTGGAGGCATAGTAATCTTTATAAAATAGAATTCAACTAAATGATTTTATTTATTTATTTGTGAGCTTTGTATTTTAATAATAAAGTATTTAAATTCAATCAGTATACTTTAGTTATTCTTAGGTATCTACAGTTTGAGTTAAAAGATGTTTTCACTTAATGATATTATATTTTTTCGTGTTTTTCTTTTCTGCAAAGATCTATTTCTAAAAATTTAGGAGCCACCAAAAAATACCACAATGCATGACATAATAAAGAAACAAAAAGTGCCAAGTTAAAAATAATTTGGTTCTGTCCGCAAATTTTTTACAGAACGGACCTTAATTAGTATCCCTCCATCAAAACTGTGAAGACACCTAACAAAAAACCATTTCAAGGTCTCTTGCCTTAAATTTTAAGGCATACATCCAGAGCGAGAGAAGTTAAGTTACCAATCAGACTATCCAAATGTCTCTTACCAACTCTTCAAATATCATTATTTCTACATTAAGAACCCAAGGATCATACCAAAAGCTAATCTCATCATTGCTAATTTTCAAATAAAAAACCATCCTCTACAAGTGAAACTAGGAAGTAAAGGATTATTGAGTTAAGGGACTATATAATATAATTAATGTACTCTATGGCAAGGTTTGTGCAAAACTAGGAAACTAATTAAGGCCAGACAAGACACTTTATTTCAAATTTAAGTAAAGAGCCTTATTCCTAATCACTAATGCTAGTTAATAATTAATCTTCTGACCTTTAAGAGACATGAAAGCAGTGCATGACTTTTTCATTCATTGAGCTTCTGATTTATTTGGCCTTTGGTTATGATTAATGCATCCTTTTCTTCCCCAAACTCTTTCACAACTTCCTAGTACTCATCAAAGAACTACAAATCAAATTCTAGTAATATTTTTATTTTTTATTTCACGAACAATTCCTGGCATTGATAAAATAAAAAGGCAGTACTTGAAATGGATAGAATTGTTTCATGCATCAACAGAGAGTGATAACATGTTTGGCTGACCTCATTCTGGTGCATGTTCAAGACAATGAAGAAGGTGAATGCATTTTGTTTATCACACGTTGTTGTCCATCTCTCAATGCTGTGTTTGCTATGCGAATGTAATTCAAAGGCAGTTACGTATATAGTTCACATGGACAAGTCTTACATGCCCAAAGTTTTCACCTCCCAACGCCATTGGTATTCATCCACCGTTACTTCTCTGGATTCCGCCACTCAAAACGTTAACCGTAGCATTTTGTACTCTTATGAAAACGCACTTCACGGTTTCAGTGTTGCCTTATCACCAAAGCAGTTAGAGAGTCTCAAAGAAACACCAGGTTTCATCTCAGCATACAGAGACAGAGCAGCCATTCTTGACACCACCGCTTCCTACGCCTTCCTCTCTCTCAACGTCTCTCACGGCCTCTGGCCAGCTTCCAACTACGGCCAAAACGTCGTCGTTGGCGTCGTCGATTCCGGAATCTGGCCCGAGAGCGACAGCTTCAAAGACGATGGCATGGTAACTCAAACTCCTCCAAAATGGAAGGGAAAGTGCGAGGGTGGTCAACGCTTTGACCCCTCCCTCTGTAATTCCAAACTCGTAGGCGCAAGGTACTTCAACAAAGGCCTTCTCGCAGCGCAGGACGGTGATGACGACACTAAAATTGGCTCCAACTCCGTTAGAGATAGCGTTGGACACGGGACCCACACCGCGTCCACGGTGGCGGGAAACTACGTGAGGGGCGCGTCGTATTTCGGTTACGCCAAGGGCACCGCAAGAGGAATTGCGCCACGTTCTAAAATTGCGATATACAAGGTTGCGTGGGCCCAAGGCGCGTTTGCCTCGGACATGCTCGCCGGTTTGGACCAGGCAATCGCTGACGGAGTGGACGTTATTTCCATTTCAATGGGTTTGGACATGGTGCCCTTGTACGAGGATCCCGTCGCAATCGCCGCTTTCTCTGCTTTGGAGAAAGGCGTGGTGGTTTCAGCTTCTGCAGGAAACGCAGGTCCGTCACTGGGGTCCATACATAACGGGATTCCGTGGGTTTTAACGGTTGGAGCGAGCAACACAGAGCGCTCTTTTGGCGGCACGTTAATTCTGGGAAACGGGAAGAGATATTCCGGGTGGACTCTGTTCCCAGCAAGTGCCACGGTCAATAACCTTCCTCTGGTTTACCATAAAAACGCTTCCGCATGTGACTCTTCTACACTGTTGTCACAAGTGGCGCGTGGCAGCGTCGTCATATGCGATTCTGTTATGGATGTTAACCAGCAGATTCAGCAAGTGTCACTCTCTTCAGTGTATGGAGCTGTGTTTATATCCAGTGATTCCACTCTCTTTGAAACGGGAAAAATGACGTTTCCGGGCCTTGTTATTAGCCCTCACCATGGTAAAAATGTGATCGAATACGCACGCGCCACTCGATCGGCTTCCGCCACCATAAAGTTTCAAGAAACGTTCGTCGGAACCAAACGGGCTCCCACGGTGGCCAGTTACAGTTCTAGAGGCCCGTCTTGGGAGTGTCCGTGGGTATTGAAGCCTGACGTTATGGCTCCGGGGTCGTCGATTTTGGCGGCTTGGGTTCCGGATTTGCCTGCGGCCCAAATTGGCCCAAACGTGGTGTTAAATAATGAATACAATTTGATGTCTGGGACGTCGATGGCTTGTCCTCATGCTTCCGGGGTGGTGGCTCTGTTGCGGAATGCACACCCCGAGTGGAGTGCTTCGGCTGTTAGGTCCGCGTTGATAACTACGGCCAGCCCACTGGATAACTCTGGAAAGCCCATCGAAGAAAATGGAGAGCTCTCTCCACGGGCTTCTCCTCTCGCAATGGGCGCTGGCCTGATTGACCCCAACCGTGCCCTTGACCCAGGTTTGGTTTATGACGCCACCCCTCAAGACTATGTTAACCTCCTCTGTGCCATGAATTTCACTCAGGCTCAAATCTTGACCATTACCAGATCAAAGGCCTACAATTGCTCCAGCCCATCTTACGACGTCAATTATCCCTCTTTCGTGGCATTTTCTGTTGACCTGAGTGTGACAGTGAAGAGAAAATTCCGGAGAATTGTGACGTACGTTGGAGATGGTCCGGCTACTTACACGGCACGTGTGAGCTCGTCTAATGGCACGCAAATCTCAGTTTCTCCCAATAGGTTGGTCTTCAAGGCAAAATATGAGAAAAGGAAATTCAGTTTGACGTTGAACTCTGAAATGAAGAAGGAAAATGCAATGGCTTTTGGTTCATTGGAATGGGTCGAAGAAACAGGAAGGCACGTTGTTCGGAGTCCTCTTGTGATTGTACCCACCAACTTTGTCTTTAACCCCTAAACTGGGATTTAACCTCACCTTCTATTTCACTTATCAATATCCTTTTTTTCCTACTTATCTTAATCTACTCTTCTCTTGAATCTTTACGTTCTAATAATATAATATCAACGTATCATTGGTTATCTTTTTTAGCTGCTTATTATCCTACTCTGCAATGCTTTAATCAAACCTTTTTTTTTATTCTTACACTTAAGTGTTTTCCAACTAATCTCTATACATCAAATTATACTCAATTCATTCCTTATAAGTAGATTCTTAGTTTATGTAAGAAATCTGAATAAAGACATATGATGTATATGAACCTGCAATCGTATTATTATTATTGTATATACAACTTATATACAGAATACTCGAGTTTCAAACTCAACCAATTACAACACCCAATTAAAGCCCTGTTGGTCCATACCAGTAGATTTCAGCACCGCATGGCCAATTGGGAGAAATTCAAAGTTTACCCTGCCATTCATTATTTACTGCAAAACTTTTTGAAGAGAACTTGAGCAACAAGACATCAAGTTCTCTTTGTAGACGACGATGTTTCAAAATAAGTTGGTCTTGGAGTAGAGGGGCAGCATATAGACTGAAGCAAGTCTTCCACACGCAGCACTTTAAATTTAGGACGTGTATTGGGAGCAACATTGTCAACACGGTGTTGGAAAATCTTGCCATTCTTGTCAAGTTTATACTCCGAGGTTCCATCGAACCTCCCACGATTCTCCCATGGACCTCGTGAGATTCCATGAACAGTCCACCGAACCATAATGACATTCTCAGCAGGCTGCCACACGCTGGATAAGTCAATCCACAAAGCCTTGAAAAACATCCTGCCATGAAATCGTAGAGCCCAGAAGATTGATTTGTAACTCTCGATGCCAACGAACGTGTTCAAAGGATCTTTGAGTACAATATCATCCCTGAATGAAAGAAGCAGATATGTAAGTAGACACAGCAAAATTGAATTTGCATATGGTCAGAAAACTTCCAAATTCCAATAAACAAGGAAAGCAGCTAAAACAACAACTACTACACAAAATAAACACCATGCAAAATAAATGTTTGGTTACATTTTTGGTCCTCGAGTATTATAATTGTACGTAAGACAATGAAAAATCACAAGTACAACTATGTCTGAAATAAAATAAAATTGAGAAAAGAAAAGAAAGGGAAACTGGAACCTATAGATGTCGAAGGATAGTTCTCTGTGGAAGAGGGCAGGGAAGTCCTCCCTGAGAGCCCGAAGAGCATGCCCCAAATTCACGTAATATTCTTGCTTTTCTTTTTCTTCTTCCTCTTTGCTTCCTCTCTTCACTGGAGCCGAAAAATAGCTGTACGAACTAAAATTCTGATCTAAACCCAAACACCCATAATCGTTAACTTTGCAACTCACTTTTAACCCAATTGTCTTGCCCTTTGTGAGCGGTTTGAAGTTGTAGAGCTTACTGGGTCTAGGGTTAAGGTAGTGCACTATTTTCCGGACCAAGAACGGTTCCGAGCAATGGATGAGAAGAGACATGGTGATGGGTGGGATTTTTGCGATGAAAGTGAAAGAATAAAATGTGGTTCTGCATGAGAAGAAAAGAAAAAGGGAATGGAAAGAAAAAAACCAAGATTAGATGTATGGAGTTATTAAGTGGGAAAAGAGTGTGATTGGTTGGATTTGGATTTTCTTTCTACTTTGCCTTCGGCTATTTTCCTCAAATAAAAAGATCCAAAAATGTCACCTTGTGGCGTGGGTTACAGAGAAATAACCCAAGAAAGAGAGGGTGGAGATAAAGACTCGGACGACAGAATAATCCTTTAGGAAAGATTGGAATCTTTGGGTTGGGTGCCGTGGCTTTAGTTCAGAGCATATTCCATCCTTCTTTTTCTTATTCTTCTTTTCATTTTATGTATTTGTGTACTAGTTTAAAAGAGAGTTGAATTTGATCTTAGAGAATAAAGAAATTATAATGGTTTATAAAAAATTAAATTTGAGATAATCTTTTTTTACTAAAATAATGTCTTTTATAGTAACTTATAAGGTCAGATAAAAGGGTGTTTATAACTCAGGAGGAGTGTAGATTTAAAAATGGAATAACAGAGCCAAGGGCATGAATGTCTTTGGAAAATTGTCGTTTCCCTTACAACAAAGAACACAATAATTCTTAATTAATTATTTGTGTTGGGTGATTTTCAGATGCAATGAAATGAGTGACATGTTGTCTTTGGAATTTGACTGTCTTGTCTTCTTCCTTCTCACTCACTCTCTCTTCAGTTCTTGAATTTGATCCACCTTTGTTGTTTTTTTCTCACCGAACCAAACAAATACTTAACTACCATTAGTGTTGTAGCTTTTTGATGGAACGTTGCGCCATGACAATGGACGTGGTTTCCATGGAGCACAGCAAGAGCTTCATCTTCGCCTTGCAGGTCATCAGATCTATCACTATTCTCACTTACTAAACTACATTACCGTCCATGTTTCAATTCTTTCTCTTGCGTTCATATTCATAACCACAAACCTCATTATCATATTACATTTGGAACCTCTAATCTCTCCACAAAGAATTAATCCCTATTCTAATTTCTGGGTGCTGATCCTCCTGATACTATCATTTCAGGAACTTAAGAATCTGAGGCCTCAACTCTATTCTGCTGCCGAGTACTGCGAGAAATCATATCTCCATAGTGATAAAAAACAAGTGTAAGGATACTTTTTGTTAAGGGCTATTTTAGTTTGTTGCTCTGGAATGCATACATACCTTATTTTTACAATTAGTGATTTCGCTGAGTCCTAATTACTTGCATGCCTGTCAGTGTTATAGCTGAAATTTTCTACTTATATTTGTGCATTAAAGTTTTCAACAAATGCCAGATGTGTGTTTTGCTTTATGTGGGAATTGTGGATGGATAATGGATATAACAAAATGCTGTAAACAAGAAAACAATCTTTAAATTGAGACTACTTAGAAAATTAATTCGATTAATTCTGATAACAAATTTTAAATGGTTTAAAGTGGACGCCTAATAAACATTGGCTAAGACTTGTTACTGCTTATAAGTAATTTCTATTGATCTCTGATCTGACTGTAGTATTTGCGTGATTGTATATACGCAGAAGAACTTGTAATGATTCTTAAAATGTATGGTTGTGTCTGGATAGTGAAATTGAAGAGAATGGATACCATGGCATAGGACTACTTGTAATGTAACCGAGAATTTTTGTCGCTAGTTAAATTTGTGTCTGCTAGCTGATTATTCTTCTATATTCGAACTGCGTGGATTAACCCAGACAAACTCCATTTTATTTTATTTCTGCAACAGGGTACTTGACAACCTGAAAGATTATGCAGTAAGAGCTCTTATTAATGCTGTCGATCATCTGGGAACTGTTGCTTACAAGTTAACCGACCTTCTTGAGCAGCAAACCTTTGACGTATCCACCATGGACTTGAAGGTCTCTACGTTGAATCAGGTAATTACAAATATTTTTTACAATTTCGAAATAAATAAATTCCAATTCGATTTGAAGTGACATATTTGCAAAAATGCAGAAACTTCTTACATGTCATGTTTACACTGATAGAGAGGGCCTTCGGCAACAGCAGTTGTTAGCTTTCGTTCCGAGACATCATAAGCACTACATTTTGCCAAGTAGGCCTAACTGTTTGTTTTTCTTCCAGAATTAACTATTCACTCTACAGATTTTCTTTTACTTATGATTCTTGTTTTGCGCTTAACAACACAAGCTAGATTCTGTGAATAAAAAGGTACATTTCAGCTCACACAGACAGATTAATTCAAGACAAAATCTATCTCGAACCAGAACTCGTCTTCCTTCATCAGGTCTGTTATTGGGAAAATGTCCCTTCTGGAGCTTTCTGTTTTGATGTATGTTCTCCGCCTTTCTCCTTTTCTCCTTCAACTGAATATGTATTATGATTGTACCTAGGTACCCCTATTTCAAAAACTCTTTCATGGCATTTAGCATCAGAAACTAAGTCTACCTTAAAAAAAACGACTTCCCGCACTTCCAAAAAGTAAGCTTCCAATTTTGGGCTGTGTAGGCTCGTTGCTTTATTTGCTATTCACTCCATTAATGGCATTACAGTGGCACAAGACACTGCTTTTTCACTATTTTAACACATCCATTTTTGCAGCCCCAAGGACTCCAAATTTTCTGCCAAGACCTCTGGAGTTTTCCACCTTCTAGGTATGCTGAATAGCTGTATCATTTGGAGCACATAATTCAGTTACAGTGAGCAAGCAATGGTTATGTTTTCCATGTTTAAATACATTAGCTCCTCACAGTTCCTAGTTCCGTGCCTGTAGATAGTGAAGAGCGTAGATGGATGAAACCCTCAGCAGCACAACTCCACTTATCAAATGGAACTCTTACTTCTAGAGCTGCCACCCAAACTTTTGGTGTCACAGACGAGGTAACTTTGCTTTCATCAGGAAGTTCAAATGCATGGTAGTGGGGTGCCAAATTTGACAGATTAGTCAAATGTGATTGATTATAATTGACCTATCTGTTGTTATTTGATCTCATGTGTTTGGAAATCTGTTTATCTTTGTTTAACACTTCAAGGCAATATCTTTGACATAATCTGTCAGGGGAGCGTAGTTTGGATTTTGCACTTGAATAAAGATTCAGATAGAAGTTCCTTTTCTAGAACAGGATAATGCTTCTAATTGATGATATGTGAGGGTATTTGACTGTTCTCATTGATAATTTTGATACATAAAAAACTAATGTACTAAGGGGAAGGGTCATTGATAATTTTGCTAGCAGCTTCATTTTGGAGTTCGTTGCATCAGTAACTTACTCACTCAATACTTTTTTACAGAATAATACTGTTTACAGATGAGTGATGTTCATGTTCCATTTTGTTCATCATGCTGAGATTCATTACAGAAGTTCATCCTCAACAGTCCATTGAATTTAAAAATTTCAGCAGAATGTTGATCCAGTAAATCTGTTGATATTACAAATTCCCAGCGAGGCTAGTATTAACAGTGATCAAACATATTGAGATGCTTTTGATTTAAAAATCAAATACTTTTCATCTGTCCATTGGGCATTTGATCCTATATTTTCCTTATCTATTTGATCTTAATTAGTTACTTCTGATGAATATGTGGTCCTTGTACAATATAATATATTTAAAGTGAGAATGGATGCAAGCCAAAATTAGTCTTTGATTGATTCATTCAAATATTAAACTGGTTTCAATATAGCATGCATAATTTATTCCAATGGAAAACGGAAACTTCTACTGTAGAGATCCACACCACTTGATTGAATTAGGCTTTTTCCCTTCTCTTTCAATTTTGTGGGGTTGTTTTCACAGCCACCGGGGAAAAATGTTTGTTTTTATTTGACTTCCACAAAGCAATAGACATTCCATCAACCAATGTATCAGTACCTGAAATTGTGGAGAATATATCCCAGCTAGCTAGCTAGTTGAAAGATGATTTTTTTCTTAGTGCTTTTCTGTCATAACTTCGGCAAAGTTTCTGATGATTCTGTGTATGCAGGATGTATTGAAGGGTTCCAAACCATTGACAAAATTTGGATCATTTGACAATCGAAATGGACGTGAGGCTGCCCAAGTTCACAGCCGCAGTAAAAGTGTGCTATCTACTCTCTTTATCAAGCAAAAGGCGCCTAAGTTGAAGGCCGGTTCTGTGTTATGATACCTCTCATGACAAACTATGTCAGTTTCTTTCTTTTTTAGATAAAAGAGAATTAAGAAAACAACTTTGACATACCCAAATGCTTAATTCTCTTCTTTCACCCTGCGTCTACTAATAAAAAGAATTACCTTAGTCCATGTTTTCCAGTTATAGTCTGTGAATAATCTCTGAATAATGACAATATATGCAGTAGCCGTTTTTCTTTCATGTCTGCAATTTGTTATTAATCATTAGCGAAAGAGCCACCACAAAAAAAATATTAGACGACCCCCAAAATTAAAAATATTTGCGTTTGCCGGGAGTCGAACCCGGGTCTATTGCTTGGAAGGCAATTATCCTAACCGTTGGACTACAAACGCTTGCTGTTGTTAAAGCTATCTAGAAAATTATTATATAGATATAATTAAAATTGCGTACATATGATATAATGTATTATTATATTGTTTAATGTTAATCACAGATTCATGCATCCTAACTAAGTAATTAATTTTTTATGCATAACTAAATTTTATTCGGTTCAACTTGAGCAAAATAGATCTGGCAAATGGAACTTTTCTACAATGAAATTGAATCAACACAATTTTACAGACTAGCAACATTACGTGCATGGTTTCAAACTGAATGAGCTTTTTCAAGCATGATCAACACCTTCTACCTCTTTTATTTGGATATCTTTTCATTACTTTTACAAGGAAACAGAATTCAACACAAGTGAAGGACCTAAAGTTGAAAGTTGGTTTTGTTCAAACCTCAAACACTGCCCTTGATGGTTCTGGAAAATCCGGTTTGCTTATCAGCAGACCTATCCCAAAGCATTACCCCACCATACTTGCGCGATCTTTTGATAAAAGGCAACACTTCCCTTATCACAGTTTGTGCTGGTACAAAACCGCTACCAGCTGCCGATGGAGATGCAGGAAGACCCAAATAAATTTTCCTAGCCTTAATGGACGAGACCCACTGCTTCCATGAATTCTGAAACTTGCTGGGGTCACCAGAGTCAAACTGACACTGTTCGTTGTTGTAAAACTGAACCCAAACAAAGTCAAATAGCCCAGTTGACAGTGCTCCATTCTGGTGTTCATCAGGGAAAGGACACTGCGGTGCTGCTGTTAAGTACACTTTTCTGCCCCCTCTGCTGTGCCGAGAGAGTCTCCTTGCAAGCACAGCGTAGAAGGCTTCACCACCACCAACTTCAATGTCGAAATCTACACCATCCAATACTGCATCACCTAATGGTCTTGTCCTAGATTTCCCTCCCAAGAAGTTGTTCCATATGAAATCTGCCACGTTTGTAGCATCTCCGGCGGATGACAAGGAGTACCCTGGTTCACCACCTCCGATTGAGAGGATCACCTTGATGCCTCTCTTCTGGCAATTCTTTATCTCTGTGCTCAAAATTTTGCAACCGTTTGATGCAGGTTCGCAGTGACCTGCAAGGTTGATTTGGGGTTCCCGCCCACTGCCAAATCTTGCAAGAAACGCTATGTTCACAATTTTGTACAGTCCAGATTTGCATGTTTCGGTTAATGAGCCCTCTCTCTCGTCCTGGCCCCAGTAAATCACTGTGTCTCCTCCTGCATTGGTTCTAAAAACCAATGCAAGAAAATTCAAGAGAAAGAAAATTGAAACTTTTGGTGTTTTATTGCCCATTGCAGTCTTAGCTTGATGTACTCCGACCCAGTTAGGAACCAATTTATAGAGCCTCCTTAAATGTTTTATTACACATCACGTACCATGCAGTTACGCTATCATTGCATACAAATCCATAATCTATTTAACGTCTTGGACCTAATTTATTTCTTTTATTGTATATATGCACTTTTTTTTCAAATTAATTGTTGTTTTAACGGTATATAAAAACAAATTACCAGTGTGCTGGGTTAGCGTCGTTGTCTCAAACAATGCGTCGGCAAGTGCCACGACGTGACGGAAGACAAAGATTAAGGGCAAAACAAGTTAAAGTAATGTTCATTTGTCTAAATCTCGTTTTACATCGAATCTTTACATTTTAATAGCATTTCTTCGTATATCAACAATTCTTAGTTTTATATCAAAGGTTACAGGCAGGGGATTGTTTTATTCTTTTGTAAGGAAAGATATGAGAAAAATGGTGATGATAGATTTGGATGAATTTGAAGAAGTTTATGTTTTTAATAGGAGATAATTAATAAGATTAACTTGTTGGAAGATACAACATGATTTATGATTAATCAAAATGAAGTCCTTTTATTCATATAAATTTGTAATCTATTCTAACGATATTGTGTCCACGTTTCCATAATACGTCTTGTATGGAATAGTGAACAGAGAGAGTCGTAGCACTTTCTGAATAAGTTGTCATCTAAAATGTTCATACTTGTTAACAATTTAGAAATTTGCATTATAATATATTGAGATAAAGGGGTCCCAAGAATTATATTGTATTTCTCATTAAGGATTGTGGTCCAACGTTCAATAACTGTAATTTGACGATTAACAATGACAAAAATTCATCTATCAAGATCATTTGTTTCCTCATGTAAGTCCCTTATTGTCAAATTCATTTAAGTTGAAGACATATAAGACAAAATCAAAATAAAAATTGTTAAGACATCATACAAGATGAAATTAAATGAATTCATTGAAAGCTTTTTTAGAATCATCTCGTATAACCTATTCAACGCTTCATGTGACACAACACACAAATGAAAACTTTAGAATTGATTCCAAGCATGAGAGAACAAATTCCAACACCCTGAAATCGGATCCAAACAAAATAGAACAGATTCCAAGACCCTGGAATCGATTCCAAACAAAAGAGAACATACTCTATTCTTGTTGGAAGCGGTTCCAAGTTTTCACAAATCTAGTTCCAAGTCTTCACAGATCTAGTTACAAGCATGTGTATGCATGTCATTCGACCTCTGTCCATGAACTATGATGTGAATCCAATTAGACTGTTATGATAAATGGATATGTATGTTTTGAAGTATCAAACTACTATGTTGTTTGTTGTGCTGTTTTTCTTCTTGTTGAGCTTCTATTTCACAGGGTTGGTATGGTGTCAAACTTCTATGCATCTCTCTTATATTTTTTTAGGAATCTCACATGTGCATGTCAAAAATAAAAGTGGTGCATGTGAAAAATAACAGTGTTGGTGGACATGTGAAAATAAAGTAATAAGGATATTTATGTAAAAACATTATATTCACTCTCAAATCTCTTCATGGTAGTGGGATGTCAAATTCACATCTATCTCACAAATCATCTTATTTCATTGTTTGTTGGAAGTCTCACGTCAACTAGAGATAAGGTCAAATTATAATATATAAGTCGGGTGCAAATCTCACCATACAAACCAGTTTTGTGGGGTTAAGGTAGACTTAAAAACCACTTTCTAATATTTTTTTCTTATCTCTAAAAAAATGTGAAAAGTCTCTAAATCAACACTTCTTCCAAAAGAACACCACAACAATATCATGTTATTATTATCTATTGTAATTCATTTATATATATATATATATATATATATATATATATATATATATATATATATATATATATATTAATGTGAGTTGGAAATAAATATTAAAGTGACTTAGAAAAAGAGACCCAAAAATCTTCCTAGAAATAGGGCTTACAATAGTTGGAAGGAGTGTCAAACCAATGTGAATTTTGATTAAATATGGTAAGACTTAATACTTTTAGCAAAAGATTATTTACTTTGAAAAAAATAAAAAGAATGCTAATGCATTATCATCATCGATCAAAAACATGGTGAACCTCTCCACTCTTATTGTCTACATTTATAAATCATTTTAACTATTTTGGATTTATTAAAAGAAATAAGATGAAATTAAAATGAAAAACGATTGTAATGGAACGTGATCAAACCAATTTAAACACTTAGCTGTTAAGATATAGGATTAAATATGTTTTTAGTCCTTAAACTATCACGCAATTTTGAATTTAGTCTCTATTCGAAAGTTTTGCTCATTTTAGTCCTTTTAGTTTTGAAACTCTTATTTTTAGTCCTTAAAATTGAATGGCGTTAAATTTTCTTTGATGTGGCAAACGGGGAACCACGTGTTATGCCACCTTTTCTAACTACTTTTAATTGACGTGACAGTAAAAGTGTGGTGGTCAGTCGGTCTGATGGGTGGTCAACCACTCGGCCTGATCGACCACCAGACTGAGTGACCAAGCGACCATTATATTAAAACTTTTAATTATGATTTTTGAACAAACAGGACAAAAAAGATTGAACAATGCAGTAATGGATAAAAGTCATACAGTGTAAATGAATTCCTTAAAAATTATTTTTAACTTACAACTAAATTTATTTGTTTATTTTATTTTTTATAAGAAGAAAAAGTAGCTCAAGCGCAAAAGGGAAAATAATAATATTTTATGTTGTTCATATTTTATTAAATTTACTTTTAAAACAGAAAAATAAAAAATTCCATTATGTGTAGGGTTCTGTTCTTATAGTTACAGCTTAGTTATTAACTGGTACGCAACTACGCGGCTTTCACTTCCAACCTCACCCTAACACCACTTCAGTTGATCACAGCCAATATTTACGTTTTTTACCCTAACCAATAGCAACTACAAAAAAAGACGCCCAATTTATAACCAACGGATTTTACCTTTCTCTCTCACAAAAACCCATAAGGCGTCTCTTTCCGCCGGAATCGCAACCGTTTGTTCTTTCTTGGCTCATCACCACCGTTCCGAAGTCCCAAGAAAGAATAGAGATGTTGTGGTAAGGAAGGTTCCAGAAAGAAAGAGAGAGGAATGCCGACGCCGGCGAACACGCATCAAGTATTGGAGATCAACTTGATCTCCGCGCAGGGCTTGAAGCTGCCTTCGTCTCCTCGGCGAAAGCTCCAAACCTACGCCGTCACGTGGATCCACCCCGAAACGAAGCTCAGAACTCGCGTTGACAAGCTCGGTGGCCACAACCCTACCTGGAACGACAAGTTCCTCTTCCGCGTGTCACCGGAGTTTCTCGCCGGCGACACCTCCGGTATCTGCATTGCCATCTACGCCGTCGGCACCTTCCGCGACCACCTCGTCGGCACCCTGCGGTTCCTCATCAGCAACATTCTCCCCCGCGACGTCGACATGTCGACGCCGTGCTTCAGCGCCTTCCAGCTCCGGCGGCCGTCGGGGAGGTTCCATGGCGTGATGAACATTGGGGCCATGGTGATGGACGGGTCAGGCTTCCCCGCGTTGGAGAAGATTTGGGCGATAGGGTACCGAGACCTGATGGGAGAGAACATACAGCAGCGGCCGAGAAAGACGGCGGAAGATAAATCGAAGGAAGAGGAAATGTTTTCGAGCGAATCTTGCGAGAATTCTTGCACGGAGGAGGGGGAAGGGGAGTCGTCGACGGCGTCGTCTTCTTCGTCGCCGAGAACGGTGACGTTGAGGGATTGGAACGGAGTGAGGGAATTGACGGGAAATAAAGGGTTGACAATGTCGGCTTCGGGATTCTTGTGCTGTTTGGTTAGTCAAGGGAGTGTTGACGAACAATTCAGTCCAACCAATACCACTCTAGAAAGGTAATCCAACCAAGAGCTCTACTCTGCTTTCTTTTCTTTCTTCCTTCCCCTGTCATTTTTCCTCTCCAATTCCCTTGTAGCTAGGATCCTATACTTCTTTGTCAATTCCAAATTTCAAAATTACGTAAAATTTCCACGGAAAAAGGATACCCTTTATTCCTTTGTTAATTTCAAATTTTTTTATGTAAAAAGTTTTAAATCAATTTTCCTATCCTACCTGTTAAGCACAACATTGGTTTGTTTATATTTTCGTAACCAAGAAACGAGTCCCGATTGGGCCTTGCACAAGCTAACCAGTGTCTGAACAAGTACAAATTAAAGGCCAACCAACGTCTTAACCAGTTTCCTATTTTAAATAATAATAATATAAAAATTTGAAATAAAATAATAATATCCATAAAAGTAGCATAAATTACAAAAAAATAAACCTGTCATGGCTCTTTTAAATTTGAATATTCCAATTAAGCTCATGACGACGTAAATTTATTTTTTTTAACCGAAAAGAAAGGTAAAGTATTCAACTCATGAAAATTTTTGGTAACTTACATATACTAATGAGTATGATTTTGAAATGTTTGATGAGTTTTAAAATTGTTGTTGTTAAATTCAAAAAATTGTTATAACTTCTGTTTTATAATTAAATGATTGTTAACGTTTTATAACGACTATGTTCTGCATAATATGTTAACGTTTTATTACCTTACTTCCTTCTCCATTTTCTCATCGTCAACATCGAATTTTCTTTCCTGTTTTCAGAGTTTTTTTAGCATAACTTGGGAATATCTTGAGTAACTTTTCTCTCTCTTATCCTTCTTCTAGAATCCATACGCATGTGGTGATATGAGTTTAGATGGTGTTTTAGTTTTAAATTGATTGTATGATGTTTTTTCATGGTTCGATTTTGATATTTTGAGAGTGATTACTGGGTATTTTTGTTTCATTGTTTCTTTTTCAAGAATTTAATCTCTTTTTAGTCTTCAATAAATTTCCAGCAACTTAAGTTGTTTTTTATTTTAATTTTTCTTTAAATTTTAAATTTATATGGATTGGTAGATTGAATATCTATCTCTACCTGTATGTAAAAATGTAATTTTGTGGATAATT